GTGTAACGTTTGTATTTTTAAACCTACGCCCCTCTTGGAAATCAGCTCTTGCTGTAGGGGTTAGCGTAGACAAATAAAGTTTTTACTTACTTACTTAGCAGACCGAGCAAATTGACAGACGTTTTAAGTAGAATCTGCGCGAACTAAACACTGACAGGATGGGGGGTTGCAGCCGCATGAATGTAGTGGGCTAAGCTGTTTTCCATGTATGTGTGTATGTATGTTTATTATATAGTAGGGAGTGAGATACTGAAAAATACACAGTGAGACATTTTCCATATCTTCACTAGTGAAGATATCGATCACGTGACTTTTTCCAATTTGCCTTTGAGTGTGAAATTTCACAATTTTTTGCTTGGGACTATATAATAAACAGAACATTACACGGTGTCTTGAAGATATGACTTTTATCTTCTCGTGTTAAAAACAATATTTTACTCACTCGCTGCGCTCGTTCGTAAAATATTGTTTTCACCACTCGAAGATAAAAGTCATATCTTCGCGCCGCCGTGTAATATCCTCCATGTATGTAAAACTTTATTTAATGACGCTAGCCTTGTCAGCAGCAATAGTTGACAAAGAGAGTAAAATATAAATATAGCTATTTACATGTACAAGAGATTTATAAAAGGAAATTAAATTGGGATGAAATTTATACAAGGCGTTTTGTATTGCAATTTTTTTACAAGAGATTTATAAAAGGAAATTAATACGGCCGATTTGTCCGCGCGGGCGAAGCGATCTCGTTTGGGCATGCGCAGTAGGTTTCTTGTGTAAGAGTTTACGTCCGCTCTGGTGCTCGCGCACACGCGATTGAAGTTGAAATGTTTTCAACTTTGCAGGCGAACTCGCGCGATCGTTAACTCGCGTGGTTGGAATAAAACAAGCAGATTTCCTTTCTTTGTAGATTTCTCGAAACCAGAATCTCTTTTTGTGGTTGTGGCTAGCCCGTTCGTTGCCATGACTATTAAGCAATATTTATGTCCGCGATTTTTAATACAGAATCACAGTTGGCAACGCTGGCAGAAATACTCGAAGGAATTTTTCACTTCGGTAAGTTATTTCAATCGATATATTTGTGTTTATAATTTGCAAATCTGTCATTTATAAATAAAAACATTGCTATTCATGTCTGCTCTGGATATGCAACTCTGGACTCTGGTCAAAGAGATTTTGATCACGCTTCATATAAAGCTTTATTACTTCATAATTCTGTTTATAATCAAACGTGCTGCACAGATCTTGAATTTTAATATACCATTGTGCGGGTATTTAATTAAGAAGCAAGCCCATTGCTCTATCAACTTGCAGGTATAAAACTACAATAGACAATTCCCATCATTAGACTAATTTTAAAACTAGACAAGGAGATGCAAACAAATCACCACAGCTAGAAAGAGCATACTAAAATGAGTAAAATTGCAAAGTTTGGTTGCGAAACGTTGTAAAATGCGGACAATATAGCCTTGCAAATTTTGTATACTTTTGTATTCTAATTTCCGCACGCAACACAAAAGTATACAAATTTTGCGAACTTTGCAAGGCTATATTTTCCGCATTTTACAACATTTCGCAACCAAACTTTGCAATTTTACTTATTCTAGTACGCTCTTTCCGGGAATATACTTTTTTTGCCAAAATAAAAAAGTCTATAATGGGAATTGTCTATTATTAAACACCGAAGACAGGTGTATATCAACTACATTGCTTTTAAATCGAGTGATTGTTATAGACATTTGTTGGTATTGCAAGAAAGATACTGCATCTGTTTTATTTTGACCATTATTCTATTGTAATTATTAATTTTGGATCACAATGAATGTTTGTGATGAATGTTTATAACAATGTAACTCCAGCTGTATTAAACAAGCTGAATAGGCTAGCCACATGTACGCAGTGCGTACCTATTTTTGTACTTTTCTCTTCCAGTAAATATTCGCCTTAAAACAATCCGATTTAGGACCGCCATATTGCTTTTGTTTTTCCCGCGCATTCCGCCAGTGGAAAATTATTGGAGGTTGGACTGAGCAGGCGTATACGTACGCGTGCAACATCCGCGCGGGCAAAGCGACCGTAATGGAAAACAGCCTTTAAAGGGTCATGATCAACCACAATGCAATGCGCGATTTTGTTTACGTTTTTCAGTTACTTTCCTCAATAGTTGCCGCCATTTTCGAGGCCTCAAAAACGGCTGCCTCTGGCCCACAACGTAGAAACGTAAACAAACGCACGCATTGCTAAGGATAAGCTATCATGCAGTTTTTACAGGTATTTATTTAATAAGCGTATTTTAATTTGGTTAACTTATTTTTAGTTTTGAGTTCACTGGTAAAGAATGACATGGTGTCGATGGTGATGACGTTCGATGGCGTTCGCAATACAAATCGTACACAGCATGCGTAAGCAGTGGCGTCAGGTGGCATGAAGTAGCGTGGGTATTTACTTGTGGCTTCACTTTCCCCCCGCAGGTTATCGTTCCAGATGGAGTTCACTGAGCAGGGGCTGCAGTGCGTGGTCGGCGTGCATGGGCCTGGGTACGAGGCAGATTTACCATGCTCATACGTGATGCAAGTTTCGATGTAGAACACACCCTTCCGGAAAGCACGTCACTATAGAGCCTTGTTTTCGAGTATTTGACATTAGTTAAAGCCTTACGTCACAACAAGCTTTCGTTGGTAGGAATGCAACTACAGTACCTGAACAAAATAAGGGGAATTTCGACGTTTCGAGCGAAGGTCCCTTATATTTTTCAGGTAGTTGCATCCCTACCAACGAAAGCTTGTTATTGTTGGCAATACCTAGACTGGCACAGGCAGTTCAAGTTTGTATTACGTCATACAATGTTTTAAAACATTATCAGAGTACAGACTTACTTGCATAATAGTTTACTGAAGTTCCAGATACTTTCTGTCTTTCTGCTTCTCTCTCTCTCGCCCTAAAACGTTGATTTTGCATGAACGTTTGCTTAACTTCTCCAGAATTACCAGATCGAGATACGGACAAGTGTCGCGTGTACAAAGATAACGCGATATTAGATTATAATATATAGTCAATGGACATTTGCATTATAGACTAAATTTTGATCTAGACAAAAATTTCATCACAGCTTGAAAGAGCATCACAAAATTAGTAATATTCCAAAGTTTCGTTGCGAAATGTTGAAAAATGCGGATAATATAGCCCTGCGAAATTTGCAATTTTCAGTCATTTTGTATTACAAACGGGAAATTGATGCCCCAACACCCGATTGGGCTGTCAATTTCCCGTGCGTAATACAAAATGACTGAAAAACGGCAAACTTCGCATGGCTATATTATCCGCATTTTACAACATTTCGGAACGAAACTTTGGAATATTACTAATTTTGTGATGCTCTTTCAAGCTGTGATGAAATTTTTGTCTAGATCAAAATTTAGTATATAATGCAAATGGTCCATTAGCCTTTCTCACGGCCGATTTTTCCGCCATTTTGGAGTTTACATTAAGAGTTTCAAACGTTCACCGGTTAAAAATATTTATTTGGACGAACTTTCGACTGCTAGCTGCAGTCTCGTCCAAATGAAAGCTCGTCCAAATAAATATTTTTAACCAGTGAACGTTTGAAACTCTTAATATGAATCCTGGTTTCGCATCTAACATCTTTAAAGGCAAATTTACAGTTACAACTTTTAAAGGTCGCTTTTCACGTTGTTCGAATTGTCTAGAATCTTTCACGAGGGCAGACAGTACCCAAAAATGGCGGATTTTGGCCTTCGTGAGAAAGGCTAATTGTAGTCAGAGGCAGGCACGTAACCTCGATCACAATGCAAGCTTCTCTCACTTGGACTGTAAAATATACGAGTTGGTACTGAGGCCACGAAGAATACTATTTGCTCTTTCTAAAATATACGACTGGGTATAGAGAGACCACGGAAAATACTATACTAATTTGCTCTTTCTTTATGAGATGGAAATTCTTTCTCACCTTGCCGCAGCTCGTTCCTTTGCCGCTTTCCTGGCGGCCTTTGTTCCAAACGGTGGGTGTGGTTGAACATCAATTATTTCGTCCTTTATAAAACCACTATCTTCTTTGTGAACTGTTTGTTGTTTCAGATGCTCGAGATATATGGGACATTCGATTTTCGCCTGGAAAATAAATTCAGGTAATTTCATGAGAGTGATGATACCATACAATGATATCAGAATAAGCAGGGATATGTGCCCAGCATACCGTGCAAAACCCTCGAGATATAAACAGCTAAATTCGTCACATTCTATAGGATTTGATAATACTGTAACTGGGCGAAGTTGAAGGTTGTAAAAATACAGTAAATGAAAAAATATAAATTTAAAATCTTTTGCTGTACTTACGGTTTGTGCTAGAAATACATGTTGCGCTACATCAATTTTCTCCAATACCTCCGTCTTACAGAATGCACACGAATGGACTAAATTGTCTGCTTTGGAACTGCCAGACGGATAACTGTCTCTGTCTGGAAATTCGTTGGTAAATGGCGGATTTACTGATTCTTTGACATATTGTAAGACCTTGGGCGGACCGATACTTGGTAAAAATGATTCTTTATCAATTGCTTCTATGCCGTCATCTTCATCTGAACTACTAGAACTGTACTCCACTGTAGGTGGTCTGAACAACTCATCCTCAAAGTCTTAAATACAGAAACACACACATGAATCACACGGAATTATCCCAGAGCTATCTTTGGACCCGTTTATACTTGCGATTTTTGCTGCTATTTCTGGTGCGACGTTCTTCTTCTGGTGCATGTGAATGAGTAGATGAGTTCTGAATGTTCTGAGAATATGTTCGCTTATCTGAACATTCATAACTCATCCACTCGTTCACATCAATTAAAAGAAGAAAATCCCAGCAAAAATTTCAAGACATTGGTGTAAACCGAGTAAACCGGTATTTTTGTTTAACTATTGCATCATTAACATACTTATAGCGACTTTGTTTTGCATTGTGACATTTCTCTAAAGCTTAACACGTGGTCATCAACAAAGTCACCAAACGAAGATAGTACCCACCACTTTCGTGATAAGCACTATATGCAGGGTAAAGTAATAATGCTATTTGGAAACATCGCGTGTATACCACCCTAATAAATATACATCGTGCATATGCTACAGCTTATTATACTTAATACTTTTTTTAATTTATGAGTGCGTATAAGCCAACAAGGGAGGCACACGGATCGAGCATAATGAGCGATTCTGTTGGCACATGATTTTCTTAGTACGGGGAAGTAAGCGAAGAATACAAACTACGAACTAGCTCAGTCATGTACAGATGATGCAACTACCTGAAAAATGTAAAGAAAGCTTTGATGTTTCAAGCGATTATGCCCAATATATATAATAATATTTTTCAGGTAATTGCACAAAAGATGCGTTGGTAACAAAAGGATGAATAACCACACAGAAATAGGCACGGCATACGATGCTACATGGCAATTGGCTATATAATAAATATAAGTACAATGACATATATAGTTTTATTGAATGACACAGATTGAAGTTAAAGTGATTATTTTTGCAAAAATAGTTATGTACTGTATACTGTACCATCATCTTTAATATTTTTCTCAGCTTTCTTTTCTTTCACTTTCGTCTTTGGTACTGACAGATTAGATTTTTCAATACCTGTAGCTTTTTCTACTAATCAGAAAAGAAATCAATTTACTTAATATAATCAAACATTTAATTGGAACGCAAGAGGGCTTCTCATTTTCCAAAATGGGCAGTTCTAAAATATTAACATAAAATGGTTACATTATAAAATTTAAAATGGTTAATCGAATGTAGTTCTAAACTTTAATTTTGGATGAAATGTGACCAAGCAGTCTTAAACTTTGAACTCTAAGCGTGCAAAGCATAATGGGGGCATCATTTAATCAGTTTAGAAATCATATATGGGGCCCATTTCTTGGAGACATGGTATGAGAACAATTCATTCAGAAATAGCTGCAATATTCAACTACTAAGCTTGAAATTTGTGCTTCCATTAAGCTTTGCGCGCTTAGACTTTAAGTTTAAGGTTTAGAGTTTAAGGTCTGCAAAGGACAACCTTTTTTGAATTAGCTGTATATATACATATATGTGATACTCGAACCGACCTGACCGCGTAGCTCAGTTGGCAGAGCATTGGGCTAGTATTCCAAAGGTCGTAGGTTCGATTCCCACCGTGGACAGGCATATTTTTCAAGCTTGCTCGGTGTGGATATACACTCAGAGTAACATCACAAGCATAATTAAAAATTATAAAAAGTAGCATAATATCAGCGCGGGGTCCCTTGAATTTTAGACACTGGATTCAGTAAGATTAAAAAAATTCTTTTGTATTTCATGCGTTGAAACGTTTCCTGTGTATAAAAAAAAAAGAAACTGAAATTCAACCCAGTTTATACAATTAACATTATTATTATTTACAGGGGAAAGTAGCCAAACATGATAGCGTCCATATAAACTTCTGCCGTCTTCCACAAAATTCAGCAATCTTATAGTATTTAGAAGAAGAACTGCGAATTTTGAAATTTTCTGACCCCTATGATTTTTTTGGCCTCGCTTTTTGGAGTCCCTTGTCCAAAGAAGGAAAGAAAAAATTTCAGTTTACGGCCCTGCTTTTGGAGCCCTGTGTTTTTTTTTATTTTGGCTCTCCGTCTTTGGGGGCTTTGGACACTTTGGGGCCCCCGAGTTGTTTGGATCCCGCGCTGAAATAGGGAAAAAAAAAACCGTTAGGGGTCCTAGCTGCTCTTTGGGGCCTCGATTTTTAAATTTTGAGGCCTGACGTTTCTGGGGACTGGCACACTGTTTGGGCTCCGCGCTGAAACAGGGAACAAAAAATTCAGAAAAAATAGAAGAGAGTAAGCGCGGGGCCCGCGGCATATGCTGCTTCTGCCATATGATTAATCCGGCACTGAGCATGATTAACTATACTGTATATTTCCATTCTTTGTTGTTTCCAATGTTTGCATATAGGATAGTCCAAGTTACGGTTAGCCTGCGTGGCATGCCTTCAATTTTATGGGGGGGGCTGATTTGCGGCGGGCAGGATTTTGAGGGCCTGCCACGTAAGCTAAGTTATGGTAGGGTTCAGAATTAAAGAGCGTTTGACAATGGAAAAGCAGATGGTGTATAATTAACATTTAAAATCCCATAAGAAACACAAGGAGGGGGACAAATTTCTAAAGGAAGGAGAAATATTTCCTAGGAAATCGAGAGGGTCTATTGTATTATTCAGCACTTATATACTGTACTACTCTTCCTGCAGATTATTTCATCGCGGAAAGAAAAGAAAATAGTTTTTGCTTTTTTTGAGAGCATGTTGACTCAAGGTTTTGTCAAAATAAATTCAAACCCCAGGCATATTGACATTATTTTTCTAATTTTGAGACGATGACTTATTTCTCTGCTCTGCCTCTGAAAAGAAATCAACTCTGCATGACCCGCAATTCCCATGTACAGTAGGTCAATTTTAGTGGTTATTTTGTGCAGTGGATGCATGATTCATTTTATGGCAACATGTTTATATACAGTACACAGTCATGCAGTAACAAAAACACAAAGGATAACTAAGATACCAGTAACGGCACAGTTTGTAGGCCATACAGTATATAAAAAGTTGATATTGGTACTGATATTTCTTGGTTTAAAACCTTTTTGCTTGAAAAGTGATTTTGCACTTTCGCTCTTTTTCCAGTTTTGGTGTGAAAGCAGTCCAGTTGAGCTGTCCGGATGAGAAATTTTGGAAATAAAAATAAAAAAAAATAGGTTGCATGATTCAGTATGAAACTGGACCAGGGAAAAAGAGTCTTGATTTCAAGTGTTTGTGATCATATCTTTATTTGATGTGTCATACATTCCTATATTGGGATTATTATTGAATGAATATTCTTACTGAAGTACCGAACACATTACTGATCTCAATACAAAACTGAACAATAACAGCGGCTGGACAAGCAAAATTTAGTGTTAAATTAAAGCCTAGAAATCTTTAACAGTTTGATTTGTAATTTTCAGCTAGTGAAATCTGACATGAACTACATTGGGGTCTACATTCGTTGCAACATTCAAAAGCAAGTTCAAACCGAATATTATTGAAGATTAAGTGTGGGCGAAATGACTTTTAGGCAAAAGTTGTGTAGTCTAAATTGGCCTTTTGGATGACCCCTGATGAAATGTGTAAGATAAGTAACAGCAACCTTAGCTGATCATCAATGTGCATGGCCATACGCTGTACATAATATATTCACAACATGTGCAGTTACATGTCGTCAGTAGAATATTGTACAAAACCTTATTTATAATCTTCATTATTTGGATAAAATAGTATGAAACAAAGCTGACTGAGTGTACAGAATCTTTACATAATGCTTCCCATATTAATTAAGTAACATAACCTATAAGTATAACCCCCTTGACCAGCTATATAGTGGCAAACTTGTACATATACTAGTAAAGGTAAACCTAGCTATTGTTAGACAGTCATGAACCTAGTCTACTGTTAGACAGGGTAAAACTATAATAAAGTACAACTGGGGAAACTTGCCACTCAACTGGGTTAATTGTACTTCATAAAAAACCCTGGGTTGTACTTGAAAAAAAAAACGGAAAAAAAAACCCAACTCGGTGGTTCCCGCAATTTCAGAATAACATCATTTCACAATATTTGCCCAAAACCTATACATGGCAGTACCCTACCAACTTGTGGTTAAAGCTTGACAACTGGCCTCTGTAGCTCAGTTGGTTAGAGCACTGCACCAAATTGCAGGGCCACAGGTTCCTGCCAGGGACCTATAGGATGTTCATTTTTCACAGCTGTTCCTGGTTAGGTCTAATAAATGTATATAATATTCCACCCAACAATTCAGCTACAAGACACTTCAACAAATACAAATGGAATTAATGTAGTGTCCCTTTAATCTGGCGTAAAAAAAATACTACACCTGTGGTTCCGGTTCCCAACCAACCCTATTTTTTTTCTGCCGACCCTACTATTTTTTCAACGCGATTTGACCGTGCAACCCTATTTTCTCCGGGTGGTTGCGGGTTATTGCTGCCAAAATGGCATCTGTTGTCACACTAATTATTGAAAAAACCATGAAAAAAATATTCAAAAAAAAATTATTTCCGACCTACCGACCCTAATTTTTTCGCGATATGAAACCGGAACCACAGGTATTTTTTTTTTACACCTCTATAAAAAGGTATACTCAATTCCAAAATTTCAACCATTCCAAAAATTCCTTGATCATTTACCTTTTGCAACTGTTTCATCAACTTTTTGAGATGATTGCATTTCTGATTTCATTTGTTCATATTTCTGCATATCCTCTATCCAGCTCCATTCTGTTTGTGTACATATTGAAGAAACTTCAACTGGAGCAGACTGTGCTCTCTGGACATAACTATCTACATGTTGAGCATTACTCTCTAATAAACATGATTCAGACTTCACAGTTTTATCCTCCATATATAATAATTGTTCTTTTTCACATGTTGATGGTCTACTGTTTATATCGACTGAGGGAATTTTTTCTTCTATATTCTCCAGCTCAAAGGATTCCATATCTGGCATGGTTGTACTATGCACTGAGCTTACAGTCGAGTTTGAACAAACCATTTTCATGCTTTCAGGTGTGTGGTCTCTTAGCAACTTTCTGTCTTCTTCTGCCTTTACTGCAGCCGTAAGTAGTTTGTTTCTAAACAGTCCTGGCAAATCTGCACTCACTGTCATTTGTTCATGAACTTCATTTGGTTCATCAGGGGGGAGAACCCGCTTTGTCCTCTTTATCGATCCTCTTCTACTATCTGATGTGCATGTATAAGCCAAAGAATGTTCAATTTCAGGTTCTGGTGTATCACTACCAGAACCACCACAGCTTGTCAGAGATGACCGTCTAGATCTACCTTTACGAATAGCACTTTGACGTAAATACATTGATGAAGGCCTTTCATCTGGTTGTGCATGTATATCTCTTCTTTCAGAGTTACTGCTAGCATTTCGAGTATCTGTCGCATCTGTTTGTTCTCTCATCTCACCAGCTATATCATCTGTAAACATGGTATCAACGCAACGAAATTCTTCTGACCAATTGTGGATATGTTCATATGCTGTATCATGCAAAAACTACAGATCATATAAAATCACGCTTCACCCCTTTTATAACTAATTAATATAATACTTTTCTGTCTCGGATATTAAAGGAAAAAACAAAGTAGCATTAGTATTGCTGTAACAAATATGTATTATATTGAAGCCAATTTTTTACATCAAAGCAATCTTCGAAGAGAACGACGTACGTTGCCTTAGCAACGATTAAGAGTGCAACCTGCGAATAGGCTGAGTAGCGATAATAATTTCGCATTTTCAAGAATTTTGCGGCAACATGAAAATGAAAATACGAATAAAAGTCGATATTTTGTTTCTGCGAAATCGAAAATCGAATATTCTTCGCCACGTTGAATATGTGAACATTTTTTTAATTTTACTAATATTGTGAGTGTTTCTCCGTCGATTTAAACTGATATTGTTTGAGGCAATACATGCGGAAATGTAAAGTGTCTGCAAATTATTTCTTATCCTAAAAAGTTGAAATGGCAGGTAGGCGGTTGTGTGCTTGGGTGTGTGATTCATTCATATCTGGTCATGTTTTTAGTCCTATTGCTACATGTTTGATGCTTCATATTTTGTTCTCTCTACAAGTTCAAATATCTAAACGACAATTTTTTGTTACATCGCTAGGAAGAGAAAACAAGCAAGCTTTTGTGAGTCTTGCAACAAATAATGGTTATGCACTGGGTGCACTGGTTCTTGGTCATTCTCTGAGATCTGTCAACACAAACCGCCAGCTGGCTCTCATGATTACCCAGGAAGTTGATTCTCAAGTTAGGTAAGATAGCATAGTTATTTATTACTACAATCTTAGCCAGAAACTCTGCGACAGGTTCTGTACGTAATTTCATTGTTTGAATGGCGTAGTGCCCCCCGCCCTTTTCCCCGCCCTTTTCCCCTTTTCTTGAAACAGGGGGTACCACTCCAACTTCCCAGCACCATTGTAATAAAACTTATATCTCCTATTTGTGAACCTGTCCTCTTTTCTGTAAAAAAGGTGTGAAATTAAAATGATATGATTTGATCAGTATAAACTTAGAACTAAAACATTTAATTACCAAATTCTAAACACCATTGGTCACCACCAAGACAATCTTAGCCAGAAGCTATTGGACATGTGCTGTAATTTCATATAATTTCAAAAGTGTAGTGCCCCATCCCCCCATTTCAATGTTGGCTGACGAAAGTCAGATGTCTGGTTGTGAGATGCCAAAATTGACATGGGGAGATGGAAAAAATGTATCACAAAATGGTATATTACAACCAAATGCATGTGAAAACTAGATTGTCCCAATCTATATTGTCAAAGATTATAGGTTATCTGAAAAATAGTGAATGCTGCCTTTAGGAAATGTGGCCCCATGTACAGTGTGCACATTTGACATGCAGGTTTGACTACATCGTAGGCATCTGATGCTGGTAATGACAATAAACTTGACATCTCATTAATTAATTATGGAATTCATTGTATTCTTCACCAGACAAGTAAATAGAGAGGAACTAAGAGCCTAGTGTTAGTTTAGTTTTGCTTTCAGGCTGGACAGGCTGTCCATGCATGCATTGAAATAGTTGATAAAAATGCTCTAATTTCATTTTCAGACAAGAGTTACTTGGTATTTGGGATCGTTTAATAGTGGTGGATGTACTTGATAGTGAAGACAGTGCAAACTTGGCTTTACTTCAGAGACCTGATCTTGGAATCACATTCACTAAATTACATGCTTGGAAATTAGTTGAATATGAGAAATGTGTATTTCTTGATGCTGATACGTTGGTGTTACAGAATGTTGATGATCTTTTCAATAGACCAGAAATCTCAGCAGCCCCAGATATTGGCTGGCCTGATTGTTTCAATTCAGGTGTTTTTGTCTTTGTTCCATCGATACAAACACATGAAGCTCTCATTGCTCATGCATTAGCAGTTGGAAGTTTTGATGGTAAGAGTAATTAAGTATTGTTTGCCTCCAATTATATAGTCATCCAATATCGGTTTTGTTGGCAACATGGTTAAATTTCTCTCTCCTCCGCAGAGGCTTTAGTGAAATGTATCTCATCGTAATATTAAATCCTAAGAAAACTAAAGCCTCTGCGGAGGAGAGAGGTTAAATTTTATTAGCAGGATGCTCTGCATGCAGACTTAAAATACACCAGAAATTATGTCAGCCATGTTAGCATGCATGGAACTTCGTTTCGTGATTGGTATGTTGGATTTATTAACCGATGTAATACTGTACACACTTCCAGAAAGTGCATCACCTTGGCTATAGAGCCTTGTTCTTCTGGCGCTTGGCTCTAACTAATGTCATGCATATACACAAACTTATATTTAGCTCATGTATCAGTAATATAACCTTATAAATAAGAATGGGCATTGGTCCCAGACAATTTTTTGAGTTCCCAGGAAATATTTCCCCAAGAAAGAAAAATTGTAAGGAGAATTTCAGAGGAAAATTCATACCATGACCTCAGAAATGCAATTTTAAGTGGATCCATCAGTTAGTAGTGTGATAGTGTATAAATATTGCATGGCAAATGCATTTTAGCCAATCTGGGACACCTGTTCAAAATTTTCTGGGGGAGGATGGATCTCCATGATAGTGTCCCCAGTAGTGCCCTAGCTTTTTTGGCATCAGTATTTATTCTTAGGATCAACCCTTGGTGCATGTTATCTAAATTAGTTTTATGTTATATTTTAATTAAGATTCTTGAGCAGTGAAGGCCCTGACTGACTATCAAGTTGCTATAAATTTACTATCTATGGTTTTGTGCAACTACCAATATTTGTCATTCTGGCTCCCACCAAAAACGAATATTCTCTGGGTTGACTTGGAAGCCAAACTAATTGAAGTCCAGACTGCAGAGTTGGACACTTTTCGATGAGATGTTGGGTGTGCAAATGTTAGAAAATTGAAGTGGAGGTGCGCAAAACAGTTCCCAAGTGCGCACCAAGATGCAGTCAAGGGCACAAAAATATAGCGAGATACATGTTAAAAACAATGCAAATTAGAGATTTGAGGGCAGATTAAATTGCAAAAATTGTTATAAAGTACAGTAGTGTAGCCAGCCCGATGATTTAGTCCCGCTATGCAAATATTTTCGTGTTCACTGACTGTGAAAACAATCAATTTCTAAAGAAATGAATAATGATAATAATTTTGAATTTGCATAGCGGGACTAAATTGTCAGGCTGGCTACGCCACTGATAAAGTACACCCCAGGTGCACTGAAGTTTCTGCCTAATAATTATTGAGTGTAACGTTGACCAACTCTGCAGTCTGGATTGAACCCAAATATGGGCATAGGTGTCTTGCTATAGAAGTGACTGCAAGAAGTCACTATGGGCATAGGTGTCTTGCTATTTAAGTTGGAATTGTGAAAGTATGTTCAATCAGGGCACTAATGTGATGTAACATCTGATGTGCAGAGTTCATCATAACAATGTGCTGATTGTGTTATGTGTTTGATTAGGAGGAGATCAAGGTCTTCTAAATTCTTATTTTAACAACTGGTTGCATCTTGGTCCTGAGCATCGCTTACCTTTTGTTTATAACCTCCATTCCAACTCCAGTTACACTTATTCACCTGCGTTTAAAAGGTAAATCATTTAACAATTTACTAATGCTCAAGTTTTATATGCATACAACTTCACAGACATCTGCATGCTGTACAATGACATCATTAAGTGAATACAGCCTCGTTATACATTGTTGCATGCATGCATGCACTATATGCATGTAGAAGCACTAGATTCATGCACTAAATGCATGTATTAACCTACCCAAAGTGATTATGCAATTACTTTATGGTTTCCGTGTTTGGATGACCTGATCCAAACACGCGGGAATGTTGCGAGAGTTAAGAAAAGCGCGCGATACACGAGTGATTTTGCGCGCTTTTCTTAACTCGAGCAACATTCTCAAGTGTTTGGATCAGGCCATCTAAAAACGGAAACCATAAAGTAATTGTTTTATAAAATAACAACAACACGATAGTCTTCCGTGTTTCGATGGCCTGATCCAAACACGGGTTTCGACCAATCAGAGCACGTGTTATATACATGTTATTTTATAAGTCAAATTCATCAATAAACATTGATTACGATAGCAAGTAAAGCGAAACTAATGTCACTACAATTATTATTAGATTTATTACAGTGATTCTACCTTTCCCGCGGTTATAAGATGCACGAGCATGCCTCCTCTGCAGTCTTTTATTTTGGCACATACTGATTCAATGGCATACAGTATATAAACCAGTGGTTGGAAAAGGAGACTTGAAATCATCAGCCAGGGGCTTACAAGAAATTATAAAAAAATAAAAAAAATATTTAACAGTATGATGTAATAAAATATTTTATTATATTAAAAGGTTCGGCAACGACGTGAAGATAGTCCATTTCATTGGTCGTAAGAAACCTTGGCAATATACTGTTAACTTGGAAACTGGTAAAGTTATTCATGACCATGGTATTATTTCAGTGACATCTTCAGAACGTTTTATTCAACAATGGTGGGATGTTTACAATGAAATTGCTGCACATCGTATAACAGTAAGGCATTCATTTCCTTTTCTTTTATGTTAAACATTGTTTAGTTCTACTGATGTCACTTTAATAATAGAGAGGTTCAGATTTTATTAGGTTTATAAAAAGGTATATGGTTTTCATGAAATTCACCCTTGATACAGTAGCACGCCGATATGTTTCCCAACGCTGAATAATTCCCAGCTCATAGTGTAACGGTTTTGGCCAAATTCTTTGATGGTGTCAGTTCAATGCGGCAGCACCGCTGCCAGCAAATCTTTGATAAAATACAGTACAGGAAATTTTCTTACATCCGGCAGGAAATTTTTGTCAGGAAATTTTCTTACATCCGGCAGGAAATTTTTGTCATCTTATATATTAAAATACCATAAAATTTGCTTGTTGATTTAAACTTCCAAAGGTATTTTTGAAATCAATTTGCAACACTGCACGTATGTATATGTAGGTTGTGGATCAGGTACCGAGAGTACGTCCTCAAGGAAGCTTCGATCAAACACTACTCCAGATAGGATCTGATTCGGAAGACTCGGAATATTCAGAAAGTGACAGTATACATGAGCTAGAGACATTAACAGGAAGATTCAGGACTCAGGACGACCAGCATGGTCCACATAATTTTATTATTGCACCTGTAATACCCCACCTGCACTAATACCTAATCAACATTCTGACGAAAGGTAAAATGAATATAATCATTCGTACATAATCTATCAACTATCAACACCTTCACTAACTTCACAGGTGCTGTACTTGTTTGCTGTAGAGTTATGGGATTAATCACTCAAACTTCCACATGTAATACAACGTATTTACGTGTTTATAATGTACAATACTTCTTGTTTCTACTCTTTCGTGTTAATACATAATAACCTCACTAACAACATAATAATCACATGCATTGTCATTAGCTGGTGCACAATTATTCAAGCAAATAGCGTTATTTTAGGTAGTATTAGAATTGCGAATATAAGTTGGTGTCCACATTGAAGTCACATGTACATTGTAACCTATATAGAAACTGAATATTGAAGTTAATGTTGGAAAAACATTTCGTGTCCGAATGTGAGAAAAGAACACTGCAAGGTTTTGCTATTAATCACCAGACCAAAAACCGTTCTCAGTCCTACCTTTATTAAAATTATATTTTATTTTTACAGCGAGTATTGATAAAAAGCGGATGTTTTGAGTGTGGTTTTGTCTTAAAAACCTATACGAGTGAATGATCTTTAATTTAATGTCTTTAATCAGTTGGATGTTTGTATGATGGATTTGTCTAGAAGTAAACGGTTAGGGTATCTATGAAGATAATCAAAGATTTGTAAGTGATCAATTGACTATCAAACAATGAAATCAATATTTGACCCACATGTATCCAGGGTCTTAGCTAGAGGGCCGTGTTGGCCGTGTTATCGCGGCCAAAAGTGGCAGAACACGGCTAGATAAAATGAACGCGGCTTCATTATTTATATAAGGCCGTGTAGGTTCATAAAATAAGGTGATGCTACAGTACTTACAACACACAGAATTTCTTCCAATTTACGAAATGTGATCCGTGATGTTTTAATGTTTTGATGGATAATGGGAACTGTATGGTGTTAAAATGGTTTTAAATGTCCCCAAGAGTTGCTGAAATAACTTAATATTCTAATGTCACTGCGCAGTATGAGCGTATGCTCGTCTTGAATTTGGTTGCAAAGCATAGAACAGCCACAGGCATTGTCTGTTGTTGGCGAGTATAACTAGAACCGTGAATTTAGCTACTCAAAGTAATTGACATGTGCACACCCTGGTCATTAGAAACACGCCCAAGATCTCAAATCCTAGCTAAGACCCTGCATGTATCCCACATTGCATTGCGCATACCTAATGTTTAGATGGATTGCGTGACTTAAGCACTTCTAGGGTCAATTATGGGTCTTCAGCTTTACAATTCAAGTCAAAGAGATTACAGTACTATCATTCATATTATCAACCGATTCTTATTTTTTGTGATATATGTTCTTTTTACAGTCCCATGAAATCAATCAAATTACAAGCAACGTTGGTAATCTTCAATTTCGTAGTTTCACTGAAGAATCACATGCCACTGCTGTGACGTCATCTCAAGACTCGTTAGGCCGATGGCGATGGGAGTATGGTCAAATAGACTATGGTGGTGTTGACAGCTTTGAAAACATTCAACGAAGATTGGATGAAACTCTTTCTTGAATTGAATACGAATATTCACTTGATTACTAAACAACACGATTTCATGGTTGTTCACGCCATATATAGTAGATTATGGTGTAATTAAGGTGCCTGGAAGGGGGTGGCCAACTACTTAACTCGCGCTTATCGATACAATAGGTCACAATAGGTGACAGAGGTAGAAGACTCGATCTAAACGGCCCATTCAGGGACGTTTGTAGATACAGTCGATTTCACAAAACGTTTGCCAAAATGTTCCAAACTTCGTTCCGAAGTTCGCAACTTCACAAATCGGTTTGCGAACTTCGGGACGTTTTGGCAAAGGTTTTGTGAAATCGACTGTAAAAGTCTACGTTCGTTGACGAGTGTTGCCACGCAGCTGAATCTTATCAAAAGTTTGTAGCAATAAGCTTTATTAATTTGATAAGTATTCGCATCTGATTTGTATATGCAATATGCATGGCAATTGCAAAGGCCTACCACTAATACTTTTACCCGACAAAGTATATTAAATATCAAAATATTATTGTCGCAGTTGATCAGTGAAGCCATGTGCATGTAAGTCATTTATTTGAGCTATACGTTTGCACTGTACAGTACCATTCGAATTAATGTGCTGGAATTACTGTATGAAATTCAAGTGTATGAAATTCGCGTGGTACTTGCTCAGTCTTAGATTACAAGTAAGGTATGGATTGCAAACATTTAAAATTTATAATTTGTATGGCTATAGTTAACGTTTACTGCACCGCCCTAACTCTTTCGAACGGTCTTAATATGGCGTCAATTACCTTGAAATAGTATGCATATAATAAACTTAACCTTGCCCTATAGCGACTACTTAGTAATTATATTCCAAAAACAATAATATTCAATATGTATATATACAATCTCGGTATATATATATGATATATTTAGGGAGTCATAGATGGTGTAAAACTAGAAGACATGTGATTATAGAAAATAAAATTTTGTGGTTCTTTTTCAACGTTACAATTGTTCACACCTCCCCCTCCCTAACAAACCTTAGAAGCGTCAAAAATTCGAATCTGGCTAGTTCCCAGGGCCTTTAACTATGTGCTTTGGTAAACCTTGGCAAACAATACTGGATGATTGCATATAGTGCGGGAAATGGTTTGTCAACTGGAAAGTTAATACACCCTTCCGGAAAGTTCCCTTTCGTGTATGTGACGTTAAAGTCCAACGTTGCAGTTACTAAAACGAGGCTCTATTATAGCCAGGGTGACGTACCTTCGGAAGGGTGTATTGTGAGGAAACTGATTTGTGCTAATAAGGAAATGTCTTTACTTTGCATGAGTTTATCGTTTTCCTATATGGTTTTAGGACAGCGTATTAAACCTTCGTTTGTAC